GGGGGGTCAAGCGGGTTCAAATGCCAACTCTACATATTCTTATACAGAATGAGCATTATAGATCATACCAATCTGTAGATAGGCCCCACGCAATCTACGCACAAGCCCTCCACCAGGCCCACCCCCCAAATCCCAAACATGTAATCCAGTGTCCAAAGGCCTTCATCTTGAGCGCCTTACCCCCCGTTTGCCCAGACAACGAAACCATCCGCAAGTCCGACGAGTGCACAGACGACGGCGAAGATGGTGACGGCAGTTTCCTGACCGTAGTACTGCAGGGCAAGCAAGGTCAGACCGTAGCTCGTCTCGCGGATGCCCTTGATGTACATGAGGGGAGAAACCGCACCGGGCGGAGTGCATTTGTTGTTGCCATGAGTGGAAGCGGAAGAAGCGGCGAACTCGAAGGGTAAGCCGAAACGCGGATACTCTGGGCCTGGACGAGCCAGAGCATTGCAGCCCAGGGCGAGTGTCAGTGTGCCTAAGACGTAGGCCGGGATTGGACTGAAAGTGGCCATGTTGGTTGCGGGTTTAAATAAGCAACTTGATGGAACGTATTCTTGCCAAGATCTGGGACTCATCATCGAGCGGGCGAGTTCCAAGCATTCCACTGCGGAGGGGATTTGGTTGGGGAAGGAAGGAATAATATGGCTTTCGGTGATAAGTTGACCCACCTCTCGCCGGGAAGGAGCTTTATTCTCCGGTATAGACAATAACGGGCCAGCAGGGCAATGGTTCGTAGACACCGCCCTGAAAGTATTGACTATGGAAGTAAACTCAGAGCACAGCTGATAGCCAATGGCAAATACTTGTCTCCTGAGGAGGGAGAGAGGAAAGAAATCTCGTTGAACTCGAGATTGTCAGACCTGACTTTGACCGGACTAGACTAGATTAGACTAGATTAGACTAGACTATCTTGGACAAAAGTCACAGACAGAATAAAGCAGCTGACAGCGCCAGTCCTTCTTTGAGTTAGTGCTGATGCGTGGAGCATTTTGATATGTCTGATTCGTAGATAACAAAAACAGGTACCGCTTCCCCGCTTCCTGGGCCACAGGCACTGTCCCAGAACTATCACTGGCCCGGTTAACATCACTGACCAGGGATCTTCTAGAAATAACGAACCACTCCGAGTCACTCAGATATCCCTGTATAGCATCTTCAAGTTATTGCACTAACAAAGTAATTTATTAAGCAATTCCTACAGCTACTATGAGAGAGTGGTACATCTGCGGTGGAATAGCAGATCTCAGAGGCCTTCACCACCAACAACAATATGGCTAGGATATTACAATCTTGACGAGAATCCGTGAGCCGAGGCGTATATCCTGTGTTGGTAAGACCCCACTACTACTTTGTATATACTATGAAGGACTCAACTACCTTGGAGGGGGGGGAATTAGAGATGGCGTTTTCTTTTTATTTAAGTATAATATGCTAAATCATCATTAATTTGACAAAAACAATAACAAAACACGGTTAACGCCCTGCCCATATCTCTCCGTCATTGAAAAAAATGCCCCCCAAAAGAGGCTTCACTGTACATCCACGCGGGTCACCATCACCGCGTCCGTCTCCATCTTGATGCCCTCAACATGAACCTCCACGAGTTCAAAGACACTTCCCTAGCGGTCAAATGTGCCCTCGCGGTGCTCATTCAACGCCAACGTCTTTAACAGCTCCTCATCGCCAGGGCGTTCGATCGTCCTGCTCACATTCAGCTCAAACTTCTTCGGATCCCACTACACCTCCACTATGTTTTGGACCCGCCCCCGACCCGATGCCAACTCTAACTTTGCCCAAGTTCTCCATGAAGATCATCTCACTCGGAGTTGTGAACAATTGGCTGAGCACTGTGATATCTATAGGACTGCCTTTGTCCATTGTAACAAGCCTTCCAGGCTGTCCTTGATTCCTGGACACCAGCAATCGGCATTATCGACAGCAATAAACCCATCGAAGCCACATTCAACAAATTTACTGTAGATAATATAAAAACACCACCTTCCCTGGGAGCACCATTGTCACAGTTCACACTCATCCGCGGACAAGACACGAGAGCGAGATTTATATTCAGCATATCATACACAATCTACAATACGATCAGTTTCGGCCAAACTCTAGAGCTCCTGGCCAATATCTACAACAGCTCTACTCCAGAAATCCAAGACTCCAGCCGCTACGTCTACCACATCCCATCAACGAAAACAGAAAGCCACTCCTTTTGACGTAGAACGCTGCAGAACCCGTCAATAACAATTCTAAATACACTTTGCCACCACCTGTACAAAACGGTCCCCTTACAGTTCTCGTACGCTCTGTGCCTATGGCCCTAGTACCCTTTGGTATCGCAAAAGCTTCTCTCTTTCCATCAGCTTGTTCATCCGCCCTTGGCCGCATAACTGAATCGGGAGATACTGTCCTCGGTCATATTATGTCTAGTCGCGCCATAGTCCCTGTTTCTCTGCATAATATCGTAGGCCCTTGTCTCAATCGATTTCCTGTGGATGTCAGTCTGACCGCCGGCAAAACAAAACACCAGCAGCTTAGAACCCTACAGAAACAACAAACTAAGAGCCTTCTGCAATAGACGACAGCTATTATAGATATTGTCAAGTATTGTGCTGATTGGTCACCCGACACAAACAATTTCGGCTGCTGGATACAATATCAGAATATCGATAAAAAGCCCATCCTTACCTTACCTAGTGCTATTAGCGCGCCGGGTAGCAGGGAGATATAGAACATTCCTGTTACAGCAGACTTTGGGGAGATTTTCGTCATCTCAAGCCAAGACAGCATACTCACTGTAAAACTTATTAGCAGCCCAGGTTACAAGGTGAGCACCAAAGTTGTTCTACTTGATAAGATTTGTTCGGAGTTATTAGATATATCCCGGTAATGCTGTTGCTGTTCTTTGTACATAGCGATGAGGTCGCCAATTAGATTGTCTCCGTAATCCACAAGATGTCTGCCTAGCTTTTTGTCGCCATCAACCAGTTCCGAGTTCCGAAGGGATGTTTGCATTGCTCCGCGCCGGAGCTGGCCACAATGTGTACTTGAGTACTCTTTGTATACTAGACGATAAGCAGTAATATATGTTATACTTGATCGCAAGAAAACTGATTCCGAATAAATCTCGCTATAAGCCTCAGAGGGCGGATAAACAACTGGATTTATTCGATCAAGGCCGAACTCCGACGGCTTGAATAAAGAACACGATATAATCTCTCCCATCATTATAACAACAGCATATTCCCCCATCAGGTATTGTTATTTTCGTCTCACTTCATCCCTGCAATGTTAGGCTATTGGCTTGCAGCGCTATTTGGCGTGGGCTATGCAACATGCTGATCGATGTAAACTGCTTCCTGACTATCCAGTTATATACAATGTTAGACCAACGCAAACGATCAAATTGATCAATTATTAAACCACATCGGCAGAAAAGGAACATAACTCCGAAAGTCAGGAATAACCAATTGGCCTAAAAGGAAAATAGCAGTCCCTGCAATAAACCCCCTAGTCTGAATTTTACAAGCACGCGCCCACGAATCTTTCCTCCACGCATCGAACATGCCCAGCGGAGCACTGCCACCTTTGAGCCGTGGATCAAGCGGTACAATCAATTCATCATCATCTGGGACCATCGTTGCTGCGATCCGAACCAATATGACTCGAGCAGGAAGAGCAAGCCAAAATTTAATTAATGTGGGAGCAACAGCCGCGAGTGCATAGACGTGACCCGCTGACTGGCTATTATCCAAGTTTTGGTCAATGTCTATCTTTCCTACAGCCTGTATCAGATAGATTTCAACAAGTAGTGTAATTGGGACTGCCAGGCCGCGCAATATAGACTCAAGCAGGACTATAGGAATCACTCGAAGCCAGCAGTTCAGGCTGGGAAGGCGTTGGTAAAGAAACTTTGGCGATGGCCGGGTAATAATAATGTGGACCCAGAGAACTTGTAAATTTGCCAAAGCTGCTACAGAAATTAGGGAGCAGATATCTTGTTTGAGTGGCGAGTTATCATTAATTGGTAGAAGAGCTGGGAGGATGTTATCTCGGGCTATGTCGTGGATGAGGACAAGGGCGAATCCTCGGAGGTAGAACCAGTTGCCGACGTGGGTACGTAGGTGGCTGATGGTGGTGCGAAGAGATCTGGTGATATACGTCTCATTTCCTGCATTTGAGGGTTGGCTGTGTGGCCCTTCAATCATGGATAGTGTTCCGATGAGCATGGTGTACGAGTATTGAATCTAAATGGGTTAGGTCAGTCTTGGACGGAGCTGGGTTGGATTTCAACACTTACGAGCCATGACAGTGTCATCAGAACTAATGGCAACAACATGTCTGGAAAAGAGAGAAAGAGAGGGTTTGGGGAAGTTAGAGAGGAGGAGTAGGAGATCGAGTATAAAAAGGGTGTTGACGAACGCAACCTAGGCGGAGGGCGGGGTTCATAAGATATTCAGTGATCAACTACTAGCTTGTAATTTTAAAACAAAAGTCCTCGGTGTCAATTATAGGCCAATGGAATGTATTGGTAATACCGAATACTGACCTATTCTGTCGAGTTGGACTACTTTGAAACAGTTTATGCAGTAGTCTTACTCCGTACTCTAACTGTATGGCAATAGAGTAAGTGTATTACACATATGAAGTACTACTGTATTTTATACACCTATCCTGGACTAGCGTCTTGTCCCAATAACATTTGAGTACATACACAGTGTAAAACATTTTCCATTCTGCTTGCCTAACCGTCTTCTCCAATAATTACATACCACGGCACCACCACTGTTACCACCACCAATGACAGCTATACCGGCAGTCCATAGGATGATTGATTTTAGAGACACAAGGCACAAGCACCACAGTTGTTATTGTTGGAGGCACCCAGGGGTCGTGCCCTCAGGGCTAGTTCCCACTCCTTGTCGTTTTCATCCTTAATCACCCAGACAACATTGGTAACGCCGTCTGTCCCCGCTGAGTTCACCAGATCTCCCGCCAGTTGGCGGGTTGTCTTATTCGTTTCGCATTTCTGTTCGGGAGACCCAGATCCTGCGGTGTGAATCGAACTGATGATAGTTATCCCGTTAGCGGTGTGACCCACGACAAAGTTGACCAGCTTAAGATAATCTTTCCACCCGGAATTGCCTATATAATGCATTACCCCTCGCGCGAATGCAGAATTGGAAAACCTTCCCCCAAGGTCGACAGCACCCATACAGACGGCCTGGAAGTTACAATAGGCCCATTCAAGCTGTCTTGCGTCATGAACGTGGAGCGAGGTATTGTTGAGGTAATTGGACGGACCTTCTTCATCAAGCTTATGAAACCACAGGTCTTTGATGATGCTGTGTCGATCAACCTCATGCGGAATCCAAAGATCGAAGGCTTCGTCGAGGTAGGTCCCATCTTCTGAGTGGTAGGACTTTTGGGCTGGGCTGAACCCACCATGCATAATGGGGACCTGGATTTCCCCATCAATCCCCTCGTCAAGGTTATAGAGAGAGTCAGTCTCAAAACCTCTTATGTTAGAAGTATTCCGTTTCTTGCTAACAGGAACCACTTGAACGGATTTCCCGACGGCACTGAAAACATGAAGATTTAGACAACCATTTGTGTTGGCGATTGCTCCGACAATACTACCCGTACAATCCTCGTTTTCGTAGACATTGACCTGGTAGAGGTCATCGTGGACGTTATCAATTTTGACCAGTAGCGAGGATGCGACACCCTCATTCAGCTGAGCACAGGCACTGGGACCAGCCAGTCGGTGGAGGCCGACATTCGAGCCAGTACAGCGCTCACCAGTATACTCAAACAACCGGTATCCCAGAGTCGCTGTGAATAACGACGAGTAAAGAAAAAAACGATGCATTTTCGAAGCCTTGAGCCAATGAAAAGGAACAACTAGAGGTCAACCAAAGGAAAATGCTCTGATGGCCTGTTATGACTCATGAGTATCAAAAGGAAGACATGAGAAAGCCCGGTTTTTATAACTTTCTGTATCATGAATTTACCATTCGGTTCCCCTCATGCCATGTCATAATCCTGAGCATATTCCTAGTCAGCTAGAACCAAAAAGTATTTCTGTTAGTTAGGTGCATAAGTACATGGTATGAGATGGTCGGATTGTTGGAGTAGGGGCGCTAGCCAGGTTGTGCTCTCTAAGGCTTGATTTCAAGTGTATTTCTTGTGCTTGCGCTAGTAGCTTGGCGATTTGCCAAGGTCAGGCACTTACCAGGACCATACTACGTGAGGCCAATGCAAGTATTAATCTTTGAAATCTAGTACTAAGCCTGCACCTCACATTGATAGACTAGCTGTATGGTGGACCCGAGCCCCTATATAACTACTAAATTGGTCCTAGCAGGCGTTCACTTGCGCGAGGACGTGGTTGTAACTCCATGTAACCTTCTAGCCAGACGCACAATTTGCAGTCTTATAACGGGTCTTCTTTGCTGAGTATGAGGAGGATCAGATATCGTGACCTCGTTTCGGCCGTTATAGTAGTGCTGGAGGAACCTCATTCACCTCCTCTAGGGAAACAATTGGTAGGAGCCTTAGTAGAAGTGTCAATCTCAGTGTCCATTTCGAGCCTTACGGCTATGACGGACAGCTCCTACTAGGGACCATGGTTCCATTATACATGGGTAGCCTCAAGGGTTGAGTTTGCTCAGCTGTCTCAGATGAGAAGAGGGGAACTTAGTGCACTGATATCATATTGCTTAAGCACCACTAGAAATTGTTCCGCAAACACCCGTTGCCGACCTCGAGGCACTGCCAGTCAGATTTCCTCTCTTGCCCCACCATAGTCGAGTTAGCGAGGAACCTCCTCTAGGATTAAGTCACTCCACTCAGGACTTGGGTGTTCTGGAGGGAGGAAGCTGATGCTGTCCTGACATTCCACTTGAACTGCATATTACTACGAAAATACCTCTGAAACAAGAATTAACCACGTCAGGGTTATATCTGAATTAAAATCTACCCTGGTTTCTTCCTTCTTGGCAGTACTATTCGCCAGCTGCGGCATTTTAACCTAGCGCTTCTGAGGCATTTTTCTTGCCATGACCGCCCTTATTAGCTAGGTTATTTTCATAGGGCACCAGTATATATACTGTTAGTACAACAGCGAGCCGGTCAAGAGAAATCATTTCCCCTCTGGCTTCTGTATTACAAATCGTTCATTACTTCCTGTTTCTATTGTCGCCAACCAAACTGTTATACAATGAATGAGTTGTGGGAGATGGTCTATGAGAGAGGTTTCAAAGCAATATTTCCTGCCCTTATGCGGAATAGCTAATCTTCTTGAGCAGTGGAGCCCTATATAAGCACTATCCATATACCTAACCCTTAGTCTCTAACCGATGTCAGAAGAGTGTCTTTTTTTACCAATACCAGGAATAACTTACCATGTATTTGACTTTTATTGCGAATCGAGGCTCGCTCAGTAAACCATAGAACCCCAAATACAAAATTAACCTAAAAGTCTGATGGCAGCGTTAGGTATATAGTAGATAACATCATCAATGAAGCTTCCTCTCAGTGGCAACATCTCTCAGCTATAAAGCTTGTCAAATTTATGTAATTTTTAGTATACGATAAGAATACTAACACCAGGAAGCAATACTTTGATTGGCTAATCTGGTGACTTCTTGGTGCTTCTATTCTTGGGGTATTATATTACAGTCATTCGGACATACGCGACACCCTAATCATGTATTTGTAACTCATACGATATGTATCTTTACACTGACAAGGGTGTATGGAGCTGGACTGTGAAACATGCATATACAATTTGTGCGCGATGTAACACAGTCTCCAGACGATCCCTGTTCCATCGAAAAGGCGAAACTGCACATCCTCCAATGTTGACTGGGTGGAAATTATAGTGCCATGCGGGCCAGGCGACCAGCCAGGGCATACTCTGCATGTTAACAGAGTATGGCTGTATGCATCATCTTCTCCCCGTTTACCTCGGAAATGAAAACGTGGATCAGCCATACAGTGGCCACGCCCATTTCAAACCAACCACCTCGTGGCAGACACGGAAGACGCTTCAGCAGCCGAAAATAGGATGTTGTGCACTCGAAGAAGCGCCTTCAAGCCAGCCCACTGACAAAATTAGTAACCGACGAGAATCCCCTACGATACAGCCAGATGAGATGGACATATGCTAAAAGTGAATTTTGTATGGCCTACAAGTAGACAAGGCACATAGTAGGAAATGTATTTGTAGATTAGTGATAGCTGCCCTTTCGGCTAGCCGCTGGGTGTTAATGAAGTTAGTTAAAATGTGTGTGTGTGTGTGTGTTGGTTGGGTGTTGGGGGGGGTGGGGGGCTGTTTAGAGTTGCACGTAGAGTGGCACGGGTTCCCCGCTGGACCCAACCCGGAGTAGTATTATTGACCCGAATTGACTCCCGGCGTATAGTAGTTTTGATAGTAGAAAGAGGTATTTCAGGATGCTTTCGATAGATTTTAGTCGGGCCCCATCCAATACTATGCAGCTCACATATACGTGAGTAAATCTGAGGATCTAGCTCCTTTCTAGGAGCCATAATTCAACGCGTATATAGACTGTATAGGTTCAGGCGCCTGAATTCGGTAGGGTTAACCTAAAGCGATATGTAGGGCGGTGAAAGCGGGCGGTTTCAAACTTTTTGCACCCCACTGTAACCGCCCCCTACACTAGTTTCGGAGTCGCGCCATACGCGACCCCGCCGGCTCAACGAGCAGGACGGCTCAGCGAGCAGAGTTTTAATAGATTTAGAAATTTAGTCCTACATATATTTTATTAATCACCAAAATATCTAATAATCTCTATATAATGGAGGATAGAATCGAAAAGGGACTAGACACATTACATAATCAAAAAAAACCGAATATCTCAAAAACAGCACGCGATTTCGAGGTGCCTAGGTTAACACTGTCTGTATATCTTTATAGCTGTATTTCTAGCAGTGCTCGAACACCAATGAATTTGAAGCTAAATAAAGCTCACCATCTTGCTCTTAGCCGATATATTGATATACTAGAAGAAGTTGGACTTTCTCCGAGACCTTGAATGGTTGAAAATTGCGTAAATACAATCTTAAAGGAAACCCACAATAATTCTACTATCTTACCTTCTACAGTCCATAAAAAATAGCTTTGACGCTGGATTGATCGTTATCCGCAGTATAATCTAAGGAAAGGGAAGACTATAGAGCTTAATCGTAAGAAAGCTTATAATTATAAAGCTATTAAAAACTGATTTTTCTACCTTAATTGTCTTGTCCAGCAGTATAGGATTGCGGATAATAATATCTAGAATTTTGATAAGACAGGTTTCCAGATTAGTATAGGGAAAGATCAATAGGTTATTATACAAAAGATAGGGAAAAAGACCTATATTAATAGTAATACTAATCGGGAGTATGTCTCTATTATAGAGACTATTAATACTACTGGTTTACTCTATCTACTATTTATTATTCTTACCGGAAAGTGTATTCTTGAAGGCTAGTTTAATACAGCTAAGAAAAAAAGCTATATTAGTATCTCTAAGAATAGCTATCTTACAGATTTTCTTGTATATCAATAGATTTAGATATTCCATAGATATACTATATCTAAGAAGAAAAATAGATATTGCCTTCTTCTCTATAACAGCTATAGATCTTATCTTATATACAAATTTGTTATATTCTACAAAAAGAATAAGATTATTCTTTTCTTTTTACTACTGTATTCGAGCCATTTTCTTTCGTCTTTAGATATAGGTGTATTCCACGCCTATAAACACTGATATACCGATTTTATTGCAGATATAACTTATACTGGTAGAGATAACTTTATAAAGAATAATTTTTTGGCTGTACCATTATCTATTTGACTTAAAACTTTCAAGAAGTATACTATTAAATATAGATTCTATAAGACAGGGATTGTACCCTGGAATCCTTCTATTATTATAGATACTCTACCTAAATTGCGGCCTTCAACGCCTTCTTTGATATTGAGTTATTCAAGTAGTTTCTTCTTTGAAAATATACCCAAAACTGTTCAATATTTTAATATAGTTACTTATAATATTAAATAACTTGAGAAAGGCAGCGATAACTTCAAACAGAATCTTAATATATTGATAAAGGGGAGTATTGCACAGACTTATCTAGCTGTAAATATATATACTGAATTGGAACAACTTACCGCGGCTTAATATACTAGACAGGAAAGATCTAGAGCTTCAAGACATTATATTTACCTTGGATAAACTGTATCTAGTGATAATCTTACTCAAATATACCGCGGCCGCCAGAAATATAATACTTTGAAGGAAAGAAATTAAATATATAAAAAATAGACAGGGGTTATGTTGTGCCTAAAAGCACCGAGAGTATTGTAGAGGAAGTTGTTTTGTTCATTCATCTATCTAAGCAGCCGATAAGCGGCCGCCATACCGCCTTTCCTACCGCTTTCGGCAGAATACATGAAAGCCACAACAGGTTATAACAGAGTTAGTTAACTATACAGTGGACTGTGACTTGATTACTAAACAAACCCGAAAAAAAAGAAATAATCTATAGATCTCTGGCTTTGATTTCATATACTTTTTACTATATGTTTCCAAATAATCGAATTTTTATGAATTTCTCAATATTTTACATTTAAAAATTTGCTCGCTGAGCTGTCCTGCTCGTTGAGCCGGCGGGGTCGCGTATGGCGCGACCCCGAAACTAGTGTAGGGGGCGGTTAGAGTCATTTTACTAATAACTATACTATTAATTTAACTATATATCTATTTTTTAATAGACACGGTAGTTTTTTCGCAGCCAGAAGCCAATGTTGATATTGGATAGCTGACTAATCAGAATAGAGTAGGAAAAAGAAAAGAAGAAAGGACAGGCAAAACACAGACACAGATATATTGTCATATACTTTGGGCGGCGGGCGCACACAGGAACACCAAAATCGGGCCAATCCGCGGCGGCGGATGCGAGACGTATGTACGTATCCCATGTACTAGGGTATAGGGACGAAAAATAATGCAACGAATTTGATGTAAGTAAATTTAGGCACCGCTTTTTGAAAAAGGGCTAGACCCCTGGTTAACAGGCATTACTCTATTTTTGCTGCTTCGCTAGCCGCGTTCGATGAAAAGATTCAATATCTATTGGAACTATCTTACCGGGGAATGTGTATCTGATCGCTATATCGCCCAGAAAACGTCTAGGCACGCCGCCTGGTTTCAGCTAGGAGTTCGTGTCAGCTATATCTGCCTAGGTAGGTTTAGATAAACCATCGACGGAAGGTCCTGCTCAAACATAAAAAGGTTTTTTATATAGTTTAAGAAGATGCTATAGAAGAGCAATTTGCCATATCCAATCATAAGATAACTCTTGATTCGACGCACCCTAGGCGGACTAAGATCTATGAAGTCAGGAATGTACCGGATTCGCAAGGCTCCATTCTCACTGGGAAAGACAGTCGAACATAATTCCAGGTGTGCAATTTAGCAAATGAATAGTTGCAATGTGCCCACTAACTATTCAAAACAACAGCCAGGTCCCAGTGCGTGAAGTAAAAAGCCACTTTCGACATTGACATCAACGTAGTAAGCTCTCTGGCCCTCTAGTTGTCCTTTCCACACTTCAATTGACGCCGATTTGTTGTCCGGGAGAGCAATGGTTTTTCGATCGTAATTTCTCCATCGATTTCTCGAGGAACTATGCCAGTACTCGTTCGCAATTGTCATAATATCTTCTTCTGTATCCTTAAATTCCATGTCACACCAAATATTGTAATTGTGCAACCCCAGAAATATTGATAGAATCTGGCCATTAGGGTTCTTGAAGAGCATAACACCTGAATGCCCACTGCGCCAAAATCTCAGGTAAATGTTGTTTTCGTTCATACTCCATCTCGCGTGAACGTTGGATGAAATTGTTGGGGTGCCTTCTGGGCTCTTTCGGATCGAGAAAATATACTCATTTTCTGGCCTCATCCAGTCGAGAACGTTGAAATTTGCCCGGTCAGGGTGTTTGACGTATATTTCGACTCCCTTTTCAGGCAAACCATCGTTTGCAATAGTATGGATCCGATCAAGTCTGACTCTGACATAGCTAGTGAAGCCATCACCATTGGTAAGCTTTTGCAAGTAGATCCCAAGGGGACGCCCTTCTACCCTGTCGTGACAGCCAAGAACCCCTATGAATAAATCACTAGCTTCTTTCTGGGGTATAAGGGGGAGAGTGATGTTGAGACCTTTGTTCGTCATGGCATATGGAGAGTTCCACAACTGACCATTGCGCATGGAGATATTGGCAGAATCACGGAATTCACTGGGCGATCTCGCGAGGAGTCCGGTTTTCCTGTTTAGGGAATCGTTTCTTACCCAGGCAAAGAGCGACTGATCATCCGACACTTTCATAATCTCCAGCTGCAGCCTTTCAAAAGCCTTTTCTCCCTCACCGTACATCATGGGCATGCTAACTCCAAACAGGCCCATTAGGCAATACGCCTTGTCCTCCACCTGGGCAGTCTCTCTATTAGCAGCCCAAGACATCCTTTCCGCGACACTGATCTCACCGCCATGGTTCATCAACAGAATCTGGGATGAAAGACCTGTGATCTCAGATATGACACTCTGGAGACTGGCCTTTGTCCCTAGCACCTTCCAGTCCTCGGCAAAGAAAACAACGTGCAGCGGCGCGAGAAGTTCCTGCAGAGTCCAACCCCGCTTGAACCAATTACTCCTGCGGAAGCTTGAGTTTGCAATACTTGGGTTCTCGTTGCTTGGTACATCAGCCAAGTAGCAATAGCATACTTGGGCATTGCGATACCAGTGGAACATAGAATTGAGAGCTGCAGTGAGTTCGGCTGTACTGGACTTCTTGATACAGCATGTGTCGACCCAGACATTCTCCAGCCCGACGGATTTTGCTTGCGCGCAGCAATTTTGGATTTTCCTATATCCTGGCCGAGCCTCGAAATCCTTATGGTCTGCTTGCTCAATTTCTTCGAAAGTAACCTCGTCTTTTGCAGCACCCCATCTGTGGGACAAGATTGCATAATCAGGGATGCTGTCGTACACTGGGTCTCGAAGCCGGCATGTATTGGTATTTAACAACCTCATTCTTTCGGTGGTTATGTTGAAACTAGAAAAGGCTGGTGTCTTTCAGAAGGTGCAAGAAACACGATGCAAATCATAGCTGCGGGGGAGGGGGTTTGGGCTGGGAGCAGTCTATCTAGTTTTCGGAAGCGATAGACTTCGAAATCATGCTGCACACCATAAGGTGATGCGGGGGCTACAAGGATGCAAGCCTTTGGCTGTCATTGGACATTCATATGGGTGTGCAGCTCACTACTATGTATTCTACTGGCATGTATTGGCTCGCATGGTTCGCGAAATGCTCCTGCATTGTCCGAATGGATATATCCCAATCTTCGGGCAGAGACGAGTACTTACAAGGCTACGAGTACCGAATGCGCTATATAAATGCGTGAGCAATGGATCCAGAGGACTTAACAACTTTGCCTTTTCCTCCTTTCGAAGAAGGCAACGAAAGTCTGGCGATCTTAAACATGCTGGTTGGCCATTGCAGCTTTGCCCTACTCCACCCTTCATGCCTCCAAGTCCGGATCGAGAGGTAAATGCATATGGCGCCAATCTAACCAGGCTCACCAAGGTTCTACAGTGGATACAGCTACGTGGCATACTGTACTATGGGTTGCTAAATCGGAAACTTGCCCTAGTCAGCTTCCGGAAACAACCCCGCATGTTGATTCGAGAGGTGTAAGCATGCTTGCCTAACAGGAAAGTGAAGCGATGAATGCCCAACGAAGCGGTTTTCTTATGTCGACCATTAATTCAATGCGTATAATAGTAGTTCCTTATAAACTGCTATCTTGACTCCGTTTTATGGCTGAATGGGTAGTACAGCCATTTACAACTGTCATTATATTCCTATTGATTGGTCTCCCTCCTGCTATTTTTGTTTAGCAGTCTTACGGCATTCATTTTATCAGAAACTATACTTTCGTGCGCCAAAAAGGAACAACAATCCACAATGACAAGTGCTACAGGGGCAGGATTCCCAGTTGACTACATCATGGATGTAAAGCTGGAAGACTACATGGGCTCAGATATCCCCTTGTTCGACAGACGCTTTTGCAACCGTGCGGGCATGGAAGAGACACCCCACTTGGAAGGGTGTAGAGGCACGACCTTCAACTTTGATACAGAAGACTACTGGCTCTTCTGCGTCCATTTGAATCTAGCCGAGATGGAGTTTGCCATTGGGGGGGAGAATCCAGCATATGCGACCTCCGATCCAAACTGGCGCAATCTATCCGACAAAAAGGATAAGAAACTTACAATACAATATCATGAGGTTGGAATTTTTAACGTCCCGTGCTACACCTGTTGCGAGTTTCAGCTGGAGTTTGATCGATATGTGGGGATTCGCTGTCCCAAGATGACAAACCCAGCTATCACAATCAAAGCAAACGGAAACCATGGGGAAGTCAAATGGGTGGGTTTGTTTGTCAAATCGAGTGTTGACGAAAAGAATCAGTTCGTCGCCGTGAAGACGACCAATCGACTCTTGCCAGCGTACGCCCAACGTAACGTAAGATATGGTTGGTATTCGGATAATCGGGGCGTGGATGTAACCAACGATCGGACTATCACGCTGTGGCCCAAGCAGTTATATGGGACACAGGGGAATCGAAGAGATACATACAAGAATTTTGTGACTGTTGATCCGGGTAATTCGCTGGGCGAAAGGCAGCTTACAATGGTCAAAGAGAAGGTGAGCTTCGTAATCCACTATTTGGGAATTTAATGGATATTTTCAATGACATCCTTGGGGATCAAAAGGTCAAGAACGGATCCGCTGTTAATGTCACAGCCCAAGGTAGGTCGTATACATGGAATGCGAACAGCACGACCTATATCAAGGGCACTTACTGCCCACCCCCACCGAGGCACATTTCCTTCTCGACTTTTAATTACTCCGCCGGAACTAAAGTAACCCAGAGTGACGTGGAGGGTTTCATGACTCTTGTGCGTGTCTTTGGATCAGTGACTAAAATGGCGGTGGGGATGGTCAAGGGCGACTTCGGGTCTGCTCTTGAAGCTGTTATCAGCCTGCCAGAAAAGGTCAGCGGACAAAAAATGGATGCGGATGTGAAAGGCCTTATTACCGTATTGGCCACTGTTGGGTATGACCAATGGAACAACCAACTGCAACAAAGAAGCCGCCAGAAGACCATCAATACGGCTGGGGTAGAGCTGATTTCTCTGAAGCAACACCCGTTTGATAGCGACTTTGGTTGTGATTAAGCATACATTGCTAGACCTAACATGCCAGCCTTCGGGCTATGGCCTAGATGACCGTCAGCATGCTATACCTTGAATCATTCTGTTCTAGAGAATTCGTATCAATTAAACTGATTTATGTGGAACATCTTTGCCTTTCTCGGTATCCAAATAAACGCTCATAGGGCTGCTGTCAAATGCTTGAATAAGTGAGAAGTGAAACGATTGCATGGCGGCGATTGTTGCAACCCCATATCAGGTTCATTACCATGCCTGATGTTGTCAGCATCAAGAAAGTAACTATACATGACAGTTTAAACATTATCATGCTAGCTGAAAGTCGTCATCAACCTGACGATTCGAGTACAAAGAGGCCCGTATCCAGGATATACAAAGAGAAAACCTTTCGATTATTTCATATAATGATAGCATCATAAAATCATAGCCTTACATTATTCTCATAAATATCCTATTTCCTCAGAGCATGAGAGTTGAATTTCTGGGTGGCTTGCCAAGAAGCATTTTCTAGCACCTCGGGCTTGTCAAAATAACTAGTACTATTGGGTAGAGAGGAATTTGGAAAGCTGACGTGGCTGTGGACTTTGAGGAACCCTTAGTCTTCCGGCGTTGCAAAGTAGGAACTCCATTGGTTTCCTAGATATAGAACCGTCGCTGTAGGAGTTACTAGAAGCTTGCCTCGTCTGTACCTAAGAGTGCCCCACACTTTGGGTTTGACAAATGTATAGCGAATATCGCGCCGCGCGATGCGCCACTCAATATGATACCTCCTTTTTTTTTGACGACCTAAGTCATGACTTATGCCTCGGACACCTTTCGGATTTTACGGCCTACTAGTTCTAATAACATTAATAGGCATGATTTGAAGCAATTCCAAAATATCGTTGAGGCCGTGCTCGGGAATGTACTCCGAGCCAATCAAAAATATGCCTCAATCTCATATATGATTCTACTTTAATACAAGGACCTATGAGTTGGGTACCTAGTAGGTAACCCATTCCGCGCCCCGCACAAAGTTCTAGATTGCCGTAGTCCATGTTCGCTCTTCACGGGGACTTTTGCCCTGGAAAGTAAATCATATTCGTAGTCCCAAGAGCAGATATATGCTATCATCTAGACGTGTATTATTGAATCTGTGTGGTGTCAGCACGAGATACTTCTAGAATACTGAAGTTGATAGGTTTTCTGGTAAGCTGCCAAGGCTAAGCGTGACTGCATGTATATGGTTCCGGTTGAATTCCAGTGGTCAGTTACTAAGGGTAGTGCATGCAGTATACGCGCGTTAGTGAGTGGCTAGCAATACCGCAGACCGAATCATATTGTTACACTTTTTAAAAGCCTTGTCTTCACATCATTCCACGTAAGCTCTCGCCTACGAGCGAGCGCATCAGGCTGTTATGTGCCACTACACTACCTGTCGATCTTACTCACTACGCATTGTTGCAAGGGAAAAGAAAATGCCACCCGGTCCACAATAGATAAACGAAAGGGTGCCGGAGAATCACGGCACATTTGGGAAAAAACTAAAGTAAAATCCACACCTTTTCTGGTCTTTACAGTGGAACTTGGCTGCAAGGCTTATTCAGCTTTGAGTAGAGTTGATCGGGATCCCCGCAAAGCCTGTCCCAAACCAGAAGCAGTCGTTTGTTGCAAACGTAGCGATATCGGATGGTGGTTATAGTGACGCCGATACAATAATTGATGCCTTTGGTAAATGGCTACTCCCAGGATTCATACATACACATAGCCATCTGTGACAGAGTGTGTTTCCCAGCCGTGTGTCAGATAAAACAGTCAATGAATGATTTGAAGATATCTAAAGCTATGCTGCTACTTTGGAGGTAGAAGATTTCTATAATATTGTGCAACAGGGTACAATATCCCATCTAGGAAAAGGAATTAATCACTGCTTTGAATTTTACCTACTCGCCAAAATTGCGAGATGGTCGTGCGGATTGTCGCAAATTATGGGTTAATATTAGTGGCATCCGTTTTATACATAGCTTCAACCTTGGGGCTATACATGCCAATTGGCCAGTCAATCAAGTACGTACACAAATACAAAAGTTCCTCAAGACGGCGTCGATTGATCAGAAAACCAGCCAGTAGATACAATAATTGCAAATTGTGGAATCACTTATAAACTAACAAGAGTAATTATGCAGACGCTAAAAATATGGAGACACTAGAGTTGCAGAGTTATCTCCATTATCTAAAGAGTTCCTTACTAAGGGATATAGATTTTGAATACTCTTGTTGGTAATAGCTGAAGGATACTAATCTAGTCGGACTCAGATGTATTCTGAGATACTTTGTGTATCCAACCCCAGTAATACTCTCCGAAGCTGGCGTTGCTGAAATATATATAAGCCGAAATCTATTATCCAATAGATAACTAGACTCTGGTATTACAGATATTCCCGAGTACCTCAAACACAATGTTTCTATTGGACTAGATATTGATAGGAAAGCAAATAGCGACCATTGTAATCTGTTTAAGAATATATATATAGATCTTTATTCAATTTGTAGGAAGTACAAAGATCCTCAGATCCTAAAACTATTTAATATACTTTATATACACATCCTTAGGGCAGCTTAAATACTAGATATTGCAGACAGGGTAGGCAGCATTACTATTAGAAATATACAGATATGATTCTTCTTGAGCCACCAAGAGCTTTACTAGGTGGTGACCTTATCTTAATCTTGGTTTTACCTGCTGGGGTCGAACATATAAAGGACGTATTCGTAGGCAGTGTTTCAATAGGCATGACTGGCCAAAGCGGGCCTTTTAGTCCATAGAACAGAGGTGACCTTTAATATCCGGGTCCGTCGCGAAAAGCGCACCGAGCTTTTTCTAGAAAGTACTCATACACGAGTATTGTTATTCAAAAAGCTGACTAATACAAGCGTGTAATGTAGGAGCGGTTAAGTTTATTAGGAGCGAAGGACGTTTTCTCTCTCGCATGAGAAGTCGCCCTTGGTTTGCATATTCGGTAGACAGGCCTAGGCCATGAATATAAAGCATGTTTTATATTGAGTAGTAATACTGGCAATATATCATATTAGCAGAAAGGCCGTGCTATACTGTAGTAGACTTTATAAAAACGCATTTAAAAGTTTGCTTTTGTCAATTGTATACGTCATCTCTGAGTTGGCGCTTTTCCTCAACTCGACTTCAAATAGTCTTACCTGAACTGTATCGAAGCACGACAGACAGATTGGGTTATCTTCAGAGCGAGCTATGCCAAGACGCATGACCGGTACCGGTATAGTTACCATATAGGCAATGGGAAAAATTTGTATATTTATGAGTTTACCTAGAATTCAGTAGCTCCTGGTTCAACCAGACGAGTCTAATTTCTAGTCGACTTTCTCTACATATACCGTGATTCGTATTTGAAACCACTATTGTGGCTTGCAAGGCCTAGAGTAAAGGCCCTTTAATCATGCGGATCTGAATATGATCCTTAAACACCGTGCAACTTTTAGTAATCGTTATGCAGCACTTTGTTCTTCGCATTTCGATAATACTACCTCGGCTTTGGATTAGCTCTTATACATTTGCTTGCTGCAGTACCCACGCAGCCGGTGCTCATGTGAGGACAACTTAGTAATGGACCATCAAGGCAACTAGGACTATGCCCTAGGCAAGGAACATGTAACTACGAACACTTAGGTGACGCCTGACTCTGACTAGAACTGTAACGAAGGATATATTACACATATCAGAGGGCCTGTTAACTAAGGATAAGTTGGCAAGAATGTAGGGAAGTGTCTATTATTGGTTGGGTAGTGGCACAGATATACTAAAGAGCGATTCCTCTCTTTTCTCTTTCTGCGTGTCGACATTCTAAGTAGCTTGTAATCTCCCCCCCTTCTTGGTAGGATTTCAGGACCCTAAAAAGGACTGAATTGTCGGGTAATAACTTATCAGGCTTATTCTACACGTCCACGAAAGCTGGGGTCTACATACGAGGAGCCGGGGTTATAGGGTTCCGGGCACCCTCTAGGGTGTACAGGCTGATCCTGCATCGGATCCGTGACAAGGACCTGTCAACTAGGTAAGGTTATGTACGGAAAAAAGCAGACAGTGGATGCTATGTATACGGAAGACAGAGCATTGCGTCTCCCTACTACTAACAAAGTATTATTCGATAATCAAGAGGCCCCGTGTATTCTATAGAGGATTAGCCCGAATATTTACGTACCACATATTACCAAACAGGTTATAAGTATACACTCTAATCTCGCTGTTCGGACACATATTTGTCTATACACAAGAGGCATGGTATACTGTAGAGTTACCACACAGGATGATTATCGAATTTGTGACAGCCGGGTTGGAACCTTTTACCTACCAGACGGTTTTCGTTCGCAAAAAACTCAAATTTGGTTCAACAGCTTCGTGGGATATAGTCTGGGTACCTAATAGGAAATAATACAGTTGTGTCCTACCGCTGCATTTTGTGTGAAAATTTACGTTGTGATTTTTGCGTCTTACAGTCCCAAGTGTATCCATCACAGCGAATATATACAACTAAGACGTTACCCTGAAGATTGGGTACTCATCTGACTTCTTCACTGGCACAATATTGAACGAGACATAGGAGTCAATGTTCTCCGGCTCCAGCGCCACCATTGCGAGCGCCGCATTCTTTTGTCTTGTACTCACCCGAAAGCTACCCTCCGGCAGGCTTACCTCGCTCTCCTTGGCCTCCGTGGTCGCCGTCACGCGAAGCGCGCCCTCGTAGTACGAGTTGTCCACCTCGGTTGATGTAATAGTTAGCACCTCGACGGTTCCTTCAAAAGGCTTGTCCAATATCTCTATCTCCAACCCAGCTACTTCAAGCCGCTCGGCGAGGTCTGCCCAGGCCGCCGGTATAAGGTACGCCTCTGGGCGGGAGCGAGTGAGGTTAGCGAAGGAGGGCGTCGTTGATGCGAACCGTACCGGGGGGTAGACCACGCTACCATTCTTAACGTCGACCATGGTGAAGGGGCGGATTTCAGTTTTGCTGTAGTCAGTGACGACAATATCGCTGTCTGACGCTATGAACTGTTGGATGCCGTCCTCGACGGTCCTGTGAACCTTATTGGCATTATCGGCAGCAGTTTGCACAATACTGCCCAACATGGTTAGACCAGCAGCCGTGCGTCGCTGGAACTCCTGATCGGCGATACCAATGCCGCGCATCTCAAGAAGGAAGACGACAGCCTGGGTTAGTGCCATGGCATTGCGACCAATCTTGCCATCAGTTCCCGCCTCGGCGAAGTCAGCGACGAATTTGGAATCCGAAGAAGAAGAGCCGGTAACGTATGGCTCGACGCGCAAACCAGCCGCTTCCATATCTTCGGCAATATTCTT